CGCCACAACATGATGATGACAATTATCCTTCAAGTCTCGCTTCCTGTCAACCGTCTGATAGAGTCATATAGTATATACAGGGCATGCAGCATACGTTCCCATTCCTACTTCAAAGCAATCTTCAACGATCCGAAAAATTTGTATTGTCCTGTTGTGTCCGCTATCCTCTCAAGCGGATTCCACAAACATTCCATTTCATTGAGATTCGGTAACCGCGGAGGCCGCTAGACCGTCTAAGCCTGATGATGCACACGTTACTTGTGCACAACGACGGATCGATACGCACACACATAACAGTTTTAGAGAATCACCTGGTTAGGTGTGATTAACAGTTTGTGGGATCAGAATTTTCTAGGTGAACTTGACCATTGACGATGTCGTTTCAAACTACCAGTTCACTTTGACGTTCCCATCAGAGGGCTTGCCAGAAGTTCACTGAACCTCCATTGCGGTGTATTGTTACTGTGATAATATCAGTTTTATGATATCTAGCCAAATAAGTGATTCATTGTTCCAAATGCTATATTTTATTCGTCCCTGCTTATGGTATTCTTAGGGCATTTTAGGGAAGTCCAACGAACAAAGTAACGGAAGTGCTCCTCCTTTTTCGAAAATTCGTGTCCGTTGAGTCAGTACAACACTTGTGCTGGCCAGATAGTGCCATAGGTAAGCGATCGTAGCCGCCGAACTAGATGAGACAGTATTCAATTCCGAACCGAGGCATGTAGCCTTGGAAAAAGGGGTGGCTTTTGACTGTCAGCGCTTGCCGAGTGGCTTCCTATTGGATGGCTTCAGTCTGTCCTGTTGGGCTATCTACATTCGGTTAAATCTGTACGATTCGGATTCGAGCTAGAACTTTCAACTACACGTACCGTACGTCAGAAAAACCCACAGGCTGGTTTGCTTATGAGTTCGCAGTTATAACTTTGGAGCAGTCAGCTATTCATTTAGCCGTTTTAGACTCCAGTAAACCTAGACAAGTGGTCGCAAGAATTTGATCGTGTATCCATTTCACACAACCGTATATCGATTGGAGTGTGGTTGGCTCAGTATTACTGCCACGTTCTGGATCGATTGGTGAACTTGACGGGAGCATTCACACTTGGTTGAATAAGACTGTTCCGCTTTCTGTTTACGTATGTATGTTTAGTTAGATTTTTTGATTAGTCGTGCCGTTTTCTCCGGAAGGTTTCGATTGCATTTCTTACACTGGGTGATGCGAACTATACTCTGTTCGCCTAGTGGCATGCATCACAGTTGGTGGATTCGATCTCACATCCATACCAGTTTACATTTGGTGGAGGTGTGGGCTTTTTTATCGCATTATATGCCATTATGTTTTTACGGCAGGCTTGAGCAGAAATGATACAATATTTACCAGGCGTACTCCCACGAAAATGACGTATATTTACCACCTTGTCACTAAAGCTTTTCAACATGTGTTGATAGCGTTGCTGTGATACGAGTATTGACATGTTTAGCGTAGGATCTTCCTAAAAGAGATGCAGACAGCTTGACATTACCAAGCTTTTCAACCCAGCAATGTTGGTAGACTATCGAAGTAAGCTAGTCGTAAGGAAGTGTAGAATAACATTGGACAACCATCCTGAAAGTAATGCATTCAGCCGGTGTACACAGTTGTAATCTAACACGATTATTTGTAAGACAATGAGTCTCCTTTGGTTCTGTCAGACTTCTTGAAGCGCGGCCGACAATCCATGCAGACGGCAAGCATAGTGAACGGCGCCTCTCTTTGAAGCCTAACTTAAAACCGTGAAGCCTGGTGGGTGCGTCATACAAAGGCCGTAAGATGTTGCCCATCCAGGCAGATCCTGTTTAACGACTATTTCTTTTCGATAACGGTTGTTTGTGCAACATACTCCGCGTATGTCGGGATCATTGCAATAGTAAAGATGAGGTCAAATGTTGTGTTCCAGGATTGGATAGTCTTTCTGTGAGTAAACCACTGCACTGTCACGTTTGAGCTGACTACGACACATCCCACGAGCGATCGTGTAACATGTACCCTGCTGTCTTTTTATTCTCTGACCGCAAGAAACATTAAGTTGGAGAAACTGTAACGTGAATTAGAGGCTTTTAAGAATTTGGGTCAAGATCTTTCCAACCGATAGATTTTCCTCCTTGACTTATCGCAGCAGCTTACCAGAGTTTAATTGCTTTGTTTACTCCGGGCATATAAATTATCAAATACTATGCGAAAAAGAAGCGTTTAGATCAACATATTTATCAGTACCTGCTCAATGTGTCATCAGAGCCATTTTCTGTGCATGCCTTCTTTTCGTAATCATAAAAGGCGATTCGATTTTTGGAGTCGAATTCATGTAATAAGTTGACGGTCGAGATTTTGTGATGTGTTCAGCATACCACCAGCAGCTTGCTGAAGGAGAATTGAAATCGCGCACACTAATTCCCTTTGTAGAAGACTGAATTGAAGTGTTGGTGACAAAGTTGCCTTCAGATTTCTAAAAGTACATTCAGCATTTTCCTTTATTTATTCCACTCTCTAAGGTCCCAGTTCTGTATTCGTTTTGGGTTTCACTTTTTCGGAGTTTGGTTAATCAGTATATTGTCTAGCGCATCCTACTGAAAAATCAAGTACTATTTCAAGGGGTATTACTTTACCAAATTTGCTCAAAATCCTGTGAATGTTTGGAGGAATTGTATTGGGTTCTAACAAGTCACTCCTGGCGTGACATCCCAAAAATGTTCTTATACGATCAAAATTTTCAGATCGTGGCTGCTGAAGACGGTCTCTGCCTTACGGAGGTATTTAACCACTCATTTGAGAGAACAGGAAGTCAAATCTATGAGCCATTAAAAAGAAACTGGTTTTGTTAGGTCAGGAAACTCTGATTCAAAATTGTACATGACTAGGTCTGTGAGCTAACCATAGGATTCGTATATATGCGATCGTCGGCTCTACTGAGTGATCGAGTGTATTTGACATACTATACTTAGAAGCCTCATTGGAAGGGCGTATAACCGATCGACGAGACACCAGTCTTCGATAGATTATGAAATCTTAACCCCGGCCTCCAGCGTTTTTTAATTAAATTCTTCTCTTCAAGGTTCGGAATAAGGTCTCTGATAATCACCCGCTATTCTGGTTTGGATGAATGGATAAAGCAACTATTCATCACACAAACAGCTTACTCTCGCTGTCATTTTAACTTTTTGTGTTACTCATAATGTGATTATGCCGTGCCCGCCGGTTTTTTTTCGCGCTTCTCTCCGTACTTCTGCCCATTTTACGAGAAGTACAATAACAGGTCGGTTCATTGTCACTGGTGCTGGCACTCTCCATAGGGATGCACGTTCTCTTGCTCTTGTCAATCCACCAGTTATTTGAAATCCCTGAGGAGTTAATTCGGGTCCCGTGTAAACCGCAAACGTATTGATCAAATCGTTATCATTAGTGAGATGCTTAAGCATTATTTCAATTTTCAAATGCAAATTTACTTTGATTTGAAAGCAATGTGTGCTGTAAATAACTGGTTTGCTTATTGAACAATAGAGTGCTTGAACATTGTTTTTGTGCTCAGAAAAATCTGCCATCACAGATGAGATCGCCTCTGAACCTGTAATCATCCTTCGTCGTTGTTTGTCAGCTGCAGTGATGGTTGGAAAGCTGTCGCAGTAAACTAGCTTCTCAACTTTACCAAAGGGAATGTGTTACCTGAAATGTATTTCAGCTATGCACAATGGATTGGAACCTCTAAAGGGTAAGATGGTTACTGGTCCAGTAGACGCCAATGATTTAAAGGTGTGTTGGCAGTGCAAACTGCGATTGGTGATTTTGGCGACTGGGTTTTTAATAAGGTTTGTTTCCACCCGGTGCAAATACCCCATCGTGCCATAATTAGCACAAACTGCCAGTTGTCTTACATAGTAAATGGGAAACCGTTGACAACAGATAAATAGGAGGCCAGTAAAAGCTCATTTATACTACTGATGGTCAATAAATTTCGTGGTCATGTTTAAAGGGTTACTTAAAAATGACCTATTCGTTGGTGAGAGAAGGGAACCAGATTTGTAGCCGTAATTTGTGCAATGGTTTTTTGCTTTTTTGCTCCATAGATTCTTCTCAATCTTCTAGTGCACAATTCAATGCCTTCCATGGTTTCCAAAGGTCTCCCTTTCGGATCCCGATGTCCTATGCAACTAGGCACTGTCCGCCTTGAGCCTAAAACCACATGGGATCAATTGGATGCACGTGTGGGAACAATTCTGAGTAGCTTCGCGCACAAGATCGCTGAAGCGACCGATGGAAACCGGTTCTCAAATGTTTTGCGATCCATAAATGGAACCGATAGTTTGCTCGTCTCTCAAACATGCAACGGTCAGCCGAAGTTAGATCAGTCCGTGTGGAAATCAAATGTCCGATTTGAACTGGGTATGCCTACGGTTTGGTGTTTCATGTTTGTTCTTTTTTGTCTCAAAGAAAGTTAAATGAACATTAGCCACATAATAATCATATTTGTCTGTGCACCGAGTTAGAAAGTTTGCTTGCAAAAGTTTCATTATCAACCATGGGACACATTTAATATATTTGCTGACTTTATTCTGTCGCTTTATTTTTATAGCTTATTCTTAGGCAGCTGGGTTTGTTGTACAGGTTGTTCCCATTCCTGTTCGCTCTTTACTCTGGAGTCCGGGGTATTTTTTCCGGTCTTGAGTAGTCTTTTGATCTATTGTGTGTTTGTGACTTGACGCTTGCTTGACCAGAGTCACGTGAGTCACATGACTACATGTGATATAATTCAGCGGGTCTATTCACCAAGTTGTTCGTAGTGTTAAGCCTCTGGCGTGTTTTCACCAGGTTGAGCTAATGAGCGTTTTACTCTCCAAACGTCTTATAGTGAAATAAGAGTGTCTATATTTCATTCTTCTTTTTTATTGTATCGGCAGAAATTTGGTTTTAATTTTTGGTATATACTCATCAATAGAGGAGAAAAAGGCGTTCGGGAAGAAATTATTTTTCAGTTAGTAGATGTACGATAATAATAATAATAATAATCATAATAATAATAAAGATAATGACATAGGGGCAGAGCAAGCCAGTCCTATAAGACCATGTTACATGGTATAGTTACGTACACATCCACCCGATGCACATATCGAAAAGAAACTTCATTATCATAATGAATTGGGCGTTGTTGGTGAGGGCACGTGTTCGCGCATGCCAAGACCGCCAATCTTCTCAATTTCTGTATTGTTGTATGGTTACGAACACATTTTGGAAATTTTACGGTATATTTTTAAACCCAAAAAATGAAAAAAGCAAAAACGGTAGTTAAGCTACACACTTTCCGAAAATGAACGTTCAAATCGTACCAATAGCAAAAAAAGAAACAGCGCAAAAGAAGAAATTTTTATGGGTGCATAACTTCAAAGGTCTACAGAGACAGTTATTCCAATGAAGTCAACATTTCGTTAAACTAGTCGACATAATTCAAGATATTCTATCGTTCTTAAACAGCAAACCTAATGAATTTGGCTGACGTTTCACATCTATGTAAATTATTGCACGCCAAGCATAGGTGGCATGGAAGTGTTATTGAGAAATTGTGGATTTGAGGTCCTCATCAGATTACTGTTTTCATACTGACAAACATCGTTGATTTGATTATATCCAACTTTGAAATTGTTTGTTTTCGCCATCTTAAAGCTGCGTTCCTTCTAAATCATAAGCCAAGTCAAGCAGGCCAAACTATTCCCGCTTGTTGGTGATTGCTCTCACTGTCAAACCGATAGCTCGTAAGACTGTGATCCCTTCCTCAGGTAGTATGATGAACTTCCAGCGGAAAAGCTTGTGTGAAATTTTACTGATGTTTTGGCGAAGCTATTGGGTGCTTGGTTTTTTTCAACGTTATATAAATACATAAAGATTGATTGAGAATGGGGGGAGTCAGTTTGCCAACTGATTTACCTGCTATTCCTTCTGTTTATGCTTTATCATTTTCACGTCATCTTTATTTATTTACACATGGTGTGATGCAGTTTATTTTGAATAAAATTTAAGCGTCCATGCTCAAGTCACGAGCATATTGCCAACATATTTTTGCTTCGACATTATACTGACTCGTGATTTGTGAATATATTGCAACCGTCACAGGTACTTGAATGTTCATTTCACGTTCTTTCTCGGTTCACAGGTGAGCTTCAGTGGTTCATGGGATCTCCACCAACCCATAATTTGTTGAGTATTTACAACCTTCAGTTCTGTTCCACTCCATTCGATCTCTGCATGGGTCTGCGGTCATCCTCATCCAGTTTAAAAACAAATTCCTCAGATCGGTCAACTACTGAAGAGGCACAATCGCAACTACGACAGGAGATCGTACTGACTTTGGATTCAATCACTGAGGTCTCCATGCAAAGCGGAGTCTCAACAGCTTATCTCCGAAAATACTTGGATGCTGTGAGTCTTTGTCCAGTGATTGTTCTAATGCAAGTTTGAACAAGTCAACAATTTATAATGAGCTGTCCTACTTCTGGATGCTGTTATATTTTCTCTTTGGTTAGTTCAGTTTCGAAAAAAGAGAGTATTGTATTGTGTTGCTGCAGAAATTGATCCTCGTCAGCTACCGAAGAACCTTAAAAATACATTCAGAAAAAGACTATCGATCATATATGTTAACCCTGTTTACCGTATACATTCGACCACTGCGCACTGATAACTGAGTGAAGTTTACTGATAAAAACAACTGCAAACCCGTAGACCGGAAGAACCGCAATGGAGTGACATGGTCACCATAGTGCTTCCAGGTTATATGATTGTTTTTTATGGAAAATAATACAAACTTAATCATATAAATCTGATCAGTTTTCAGAGGGCTCCATGCTACTTGCCCACAGGATTCACTGAATGAATGGAAACCACAGGTTTGGAGATCTTATATTCCTCTATCTGACAAAATGCAGCAGGTGTACAAGGCTGAGCGCATAGAATATGAATAGACGAAGGTTTACGCTCTACTTTCAGTCCATACGGCATTCGCTAACTGTTTTAGGGAGATTAAGTTTGCTTACTTCCTGTAGGTTTATTGGATCAGTGTTCTTGGTTTTAAACTCTTCCATTTACTCCTCCTTTATTGGTGGACCGAATGAGTAACCAAAAGGTGAGACTGAAACCATTCAGGTCGGGTCATTCTACATGATTTAACACGTTCTAGCTTCTCGATTGGATTTTCACTATTTTGCATGATTGTTTTTTTAATAACACGACTTTCGTATGCTTCTAGACAGACTATTAGGTCAAAAGTACTCATCACAGTTCTAAAAAATAATAAACATCGAATAACCTCGATCCAACATATGCAAGAAAACAGATCCAGAATTGAAAAATGCTACATTGTTCTCACGTTGCTTTGTTTTCTTTTCTATAAGAGCACGTGTTCAGTGAAGAAGTAAACAGAATCTATATGGATTTCTTCTAACAAGGATTGTAGAAAAACGACATTGGGTACTTTCAGTGGAATCGGCAGTCAGAAAAATCAGCGTGCATGGGATTTCTGTGGTGATCGATAACTTTTCCAAGTACCTTCGCCCATGCAATACATTGAAGAGCATACGGTTTATCAAGTAAGGTTTCGAGGAAAATGGTGAATATTCAACCGATCGTTGCCCAACTAGAGCGCAGTGTTTTGTAGTTCTTTTAAGCAACTCAGGAAAAATGATGGGTAAGTAGTGTAAAATAATGGGTGTGTTTAAAAAGAAAAATTGCTCATGGATTACTATAATATTGTCTAAGCTTCCGAGTTTTATTTTACTAACACAGCAATCTACGCCTGAGATACAGAAGACGGGGTTCTCCAGTGAAGCATTACGATCAAGGTATGGAGTCAATCGGTGAAGAATAATTCAGAAAAAAATATCGAACGATAAACTTATGGATTTTACAAGACACTGCATCTATAGCGAAATATTTTTTTTTGTAAGTGCACGGGAGGAAGTCCCGTGTGGGTTGTTGATGGAGCAATGAAAAGACAGAATGGTTGAGTGAATGAAAGAAAGACACAAATGTACATGGAAAGAATACAGGAACTGGCAACTTGTGGTATTGTTTTTCACAAAAGTCTGACGCAAGCCTGTGTGCTAGTTAAATGATAATGCAACAAGCTTTATAAAAAAGAAAAACGTTCCATGCTTTGCATGTGGGCTGAATACTGCAAGGTTGCCCAGGCCAAGGAAGGTGACTTTTCTTGAGGAATTCACAACCGGAATCTTCGGCTAGCCAAAACCTGAGCCGCAAGGCAGCCGGGCGGTGTGGGAAAGTTGCAACCGGTGTCCAGTCCATCGGATCATGCACCCTTTGGACCGGGTCAAACGTCCAAGGTGCCCAATACACCTTAATGCTCAATCGAGCCACAACCAGTAGGGCTTCCTCATTAGAGGCTATTTGAGACGCTGGGTCGTATGTGAGCATTTTGCGAGGTTCAAGGGAAAGGTAACCAGCCGCAACCCAAGACACCCATTCCCGACCATACTGAGGCTTGTGGTATAGGAACAATCGTCATAGACCACGAACAATCGGGCATTTAACAAGACAACAAAAATAGTCAACAAAGAGATCTTCATTCCAGCTAAGCCATGGTAAATGTGTTTCAGGTTGCATGGACGTAGGAAGCCGCAAAAGTTCTTTTTGTGTGATGGGTAGGACAATAAACGTCGTTGAATGACTTGGAGATAACCGCTGATGATGATTGAATTCGGCATTTCGTTCATCTCTGTCGACACTACCCGCTTATACCCACACAGTATTCGGACACCTTTAGAAGTACGTTTAACACCATGATTCCCTAGAATGTGTTCTGTAACGAACGCATCAAGATATTTTACTTCCCTTCTGGTGAAACCGTTACATAACATGACAGTCTGGCAATCCCGCGCTCTTTTTATCCGCTTATATGTTTTATTAGTGAGGGTGTTGCATTATCATTGTGAATGAACGCTCTTCATGTAGGACAACATGGATTGAATACAGGGTAAGTCTATAGAAGCAAGCAACCAAAAGGGAACCATGAGGAAATGGTAGGCGGACATCATTTCAAAGAATCAGCCTAACGGGATGAAAGAGTACAGTGCAGGATTTTGATATGCCTGGATTGAGTACATCTACGACATGCATTTCGAAGGTAGATTCGGTGGACAACGCGCATAAAGCGATTTTTAGTATAACAAAAATACAGGGATAGTAGGTTATAACCCATTTTAAATAAGAATTTCTTTGATTCGAAGCAAAGTGTAAATCATGCAGATCAAAAGGATTTAATCCATTAAAATTTGCGACGGTTACGTGAAGACTGTTATCCTTTGAGGGGATTGGAATAGACTTGAATGATTCGTGAAGGAATTAATGTAACGTCGTGAACGGGAAAGTTTCATGTGAATGTTTGTGGATTAATTGCTTATTAATCTAGAGAATCAAGGCTAACAAACAGTGCCATTGGCAGAATGGCAATCCAACATACCACCTCGTGAACTAATAATGGAAGTGACCGCATTTCATTCGTTTTACTTTCGAGTGGTTACTCTCTGACTGAAACCCCTTAGACGACCGATTTCGACGAGTTTAGTGATATCAACAATTCGATTTATTCAATATTCTCGGGAACACGCAGAAACATACAAGGATCCAAGACGGAAGTCAGATTAGCTAGTTTACCAACCAATGATCGTATCTTTTTGCTGATCAACATAGCAACAGTTACCGTGCGACTACCACCTTTCATCCAGCCGGTGCATGTCAGTTTCTCGATTCGGCGGGAAGTTTGTTCATATCTAGGTATCCACATATCTGCTGTACACAGGCTTTGGATCTCACCATGTGAAACGCTCTTTTGTTTATGAGTGACGAAGTGACATAAGCTTCGATGCAGCGGCTAGTGAGGGGTAAACTAATGTAACGCAGCTAGACTAAAGATGTGCCTCCAAATCTCCAGTTATCCAACAGTTTTCCCCGTTACAAATTGTGATGTAGAAAAAATTATTGAACGCTGATACATGACGATCATTGACATAATCGTTTAAACTATACTCGGATTGATTGATTGCGTGAGGAGTTTTATTGAAACATGTAATGCACTGCTTGCCTACTATATGTTAACCATGCGTGTTGAGAATTGGATCTTCTTCACATAAATGCTCGAATCTGTCAAATTTCCTCAATTCGGTAACCTGAAGACAAGCTGAATAGATGCTTTTTCAAGTGTGATTTACGTTTCTTGATATGTAAGATTGATGTCTATCACAAGATGATCGCAGTTGTATGCGAAGCAGACCAAATGTGAACTGAAATACTCGGAATTATTGCATTCGCACTAGTTTGTGAAATCCAAAGTGTTATACCGCATCAATAGATTCTGGTGGGAGTCATCTCCTCAACTGGTCATCATAGTGTAGTCTGTACTAAATCAACTCACTCTTCTTGGCTTATAAATTTCATTCAGTTCACTGAGTGGTCCATTGAGGAAGTACATTAGTTCTAGTAAAAGAACGTAAAGTGAACTTTTTTGGATTGTTTCGCAGTAGCTAAACAGTTGACGAAACAGATTTAGAAAATCAGAGAGTTGTTCCGGATTTCAGTGTTATATACAAAATAATCTGGTGTTTGTATATATATATATATATATATATATATATATATGTATTTAACACCGGCTTGAGATCAAGCAAGGCGCCAACGCCATAACAATATCAACAATAACAATAACGAGCGGAGGGGGTTGGGATACAGAGTATAAGAAAAAAATGTAGCTGTCAGAATAGGAAATTACGAATAAATGGAATAACAATTTTCGGGGTGTTCCACCGTAAACTTTTTGATTTTTTTTGTTTTTACGGGGTACGGCATTTCGATAGACAGACCTTCCAGCATTTGTGCCACTGACTTGTATTCCGAGCCATATCTCTCAGCGTCTCTAACCAACCACAATCCTCATCCCTTAGGCCCCAACCTGGAAGGCGGGCTGCACCAACCGAGGCCAAAGCTAGAGCCAGCTTCTCCATGCCTCTAGCTCATGTCATGGTTTGACCGCCGTGGCGCTTCTTCCACCCTTGCCGAAACGTGCGAAGAGAGCACGGAAAGGTAGTCGATGGGCAGGCATACGCAATACGTGACCAAGCCATCGGAGGCGGTGTAGTGATTTCTTCTGTTAGAGAACGACTATTCACACCCAACACACGACGACGGACATCCTCATTGCTCACCCGGTGTTCCCACCAGACACGAGCGATGCTTTGGAGACTTCGGTGGTTAAATACAGAAAGTCGATTAGCATCCTCAGTTCGGAGAGGCCATGTCTCGCAACCGTAAAGCAGAACACTACGACCTGCGGCGATGTACAACCCACCATTAGGGAACAGTCGGATGTCATGGCGGCGCCACAGGTGTCGCAGGTTGTCGAAAGCTGCTTTAGCTTTGGCTATTCGTGATGTGATCTCGTCCCCAACACCCCC